TAATTTGTTTTGTTAGTGAAAATTAATAATAAAAAAATTGAGAAAATAATAAACGTGGCAACGTACAAGTTTGAATTAATAAAAAGTAAGATAAGAAAATAATGGACATATTTCAATTTAAATTATAAGAAAATAATGATAAACCTAATGACAAAATTTTGCAATTATAATAAACGAATTAGAGTAAAAAATTTGATTTTTTTAGAATAAAAAATTGATTAATTTTTAAAATAAGAAAATCTTTAATAAAAAAATTAATTAATTAGATGCCTGAATTTTTTTATTTTAATTTTTTAATATACAAATTGTAATATCTTAACAAACTCAAAGTCGACAATAGGTTTTAATCTTTATGGATGACGATGATGACAACGACGATAATAATGACAATGATGATGATAATTTAATAATATATAAAGGAGATACACTTATTTGATGCTCACTTTTTCAAAGACACATATGCTTTTATTTTATATTCAAAGAAAAATAATTTTCTCTAAAAAAATTGTTCACTTTATTAAAAATAACTTATTTTTTTACATATTCATTTTTTTTCTTCGTAGAGCATGTAGTAACTTTTTCACTGCTGTTACTACTAGTAATAGGGATGAGATGAGACTAGGGATGGCAATGGGGCCCCGGTGAATGAAAATTGGCCCCACACCCATCCTTTATCCGTGTGGGTATCCATTAAGCAGGTATCCATGAATTTCTTGAATATCCATGGATATCCATGGATATTTATAAATTTTAAGAAATTAAAAAAATTATTACAAATAATTTTAAATTTATATTTAATGTCATTGAAATATTAAAAATAAAATTCAATGTTAATTTTGAACTTGTATTTAACGTTAATTTTGTTGAAATAATAATAAAAATGCAAGATAATCAATAACTTAAAATACATCAATTTCACAAGTAAGTTAAAGTCTCATCACAAAGCTACAATAATTCAATTTCATAATTCCAAACAAAAGTAAACAAATTAAAATACATAAATTTTATTGGTCTAATCAAAGCTAAAAAATTAATCAAATTACATCCAACATAATTCTATAGCATGCTTAACACATGTTGTTAACTTCATCAACCTCACTTTTGTAGGAAAATAAGATGAGAGAGTGTAGTTTTAGGGTTATGTAGTACAAGTATAATTATGATATTTAAGAAATATTATTAAACGGGTACCCGCGAGTATGGATATCATCATACCTGCCCCCGCCCCGTTTATAAACGGGTAAAAATTTATCCAGCCCCATTATTCGCATGTACCCATTTAGTTTATCCATTTATTATTCGTAACGGATTTTACCCGCAGATACCTACAGGTGCGAGTATTTTTGTCATCCCTAGATGAGACTATGTAAAGCCTTAAATAGGAATATATGGCCTAACCTCTTTAAAGTCTGATTTAATTTGACCTGTTTAATAATGTCAAATTTAAAGTTAAAAAAAAAACTTATTTATATAGAAAGTGTATCGGTAGGGGCGTTTGGCCATCACATAGCCGAAACCCTGTTGGCCGCCGAATGGCAGAATCTGGTGGCCGAACGTCAATCGGCCACCAGGATCGGCCTACACTCATTTATTACTCTTAATCAATAATTAGGGGTTAATTACACTGATAAACCGATTAAGGTGTATTACCTAATATGGTAAGCATGTTGCAGGGCCCATGGGGTCCATGACCCATAAATGTCAGTATAAATAGCTCATGTCACGAGGTAACGTCTTTCATTAATTACCCTAGATATTCGTGCTTGTCCTGACTTGAGCGTTGGAGTGTCTTTTGCAGGTACCAACCCTTTCACTGGAATATTTGATCGGAGCACTCGTTCGGCCCTCAAACTACGAGAAGATTACTGGTGTATCTTTTTGACAGGTACAGAAAGACTAAGTTTAAGCTTATAGAAAGTTTGTTAGGTTTAATAGGTGTATCTATTTATTTTATATAATATAATAACAAAATTAGTATATTATTAAAATATAAGTAAACAAATAAATTTATAAAATAATAATAAATTATTAATACTTAAAATATTTTTTATATAATTATTTTCATTATAGATTTATAAACTTACAATGTATGAGTGTACATCAATATACATGACTATATTTATATTATTAAAAATGATATGTAAAATCTTTAATGCTACAAATATATTAATGAGTACTATTTTCATTATCTAAAGTTTCTAGTTTTGTCACATTTTTTAAGCTTTTTTTTTTTAGTTTTCGCTGATGTTGTGGCCGTAATTATGACAACCACAATTTATCAAATTAATGCATACTTAAAATTTGTTTTAAAGTTACTTGATATTTTTCAATTTATTCTATTTTAAAATTTCAACTATTAGAATCAGAATAAATAAGTCAAAAATGATTTCCTATTTTAAAATTTATTTAAGAAAACTATAAATAAAATAAAATAAATTGATTTGACATGTATACAAAATGAAAATAATTAATTAATTTGTTTATAAGAATCAAAATAATTAATCTTTAACTAAATCTGTTACTTTATGAATACTTTTTTTTAATACGTTATACTTTTTTATATATGAAATTTGATCTCTGTGCTCACTTCAATATTATTATTTTGAGTTCAAAATAATTGTAAAATAGATTTTCTTAACTTTTAATATAAGTAATAAAACTTCTTAAATAATATTATCAATATCTATAAATATACATATTTAAAGTTACATAATCTTATTGCTTACCACTTAATAATTCAAATTAAAGTAAATCTTAAGAATATAAAAAATAATTACGAACTTAAATGTGAGATAAAGACAACTACTTCATTCCTTGAGGCCAACAACCTTGCTTAAGATATTAAAAGTTATTTAACATTTATGAGTGTAACATTGTTAATTTTGAGGTGTCTAATTTAATTATATGTAAATTGCACGTTTATTTATGAGTTGTTAATGTTGTTTCAAAATTCTAAAGTCAAGAGATTCTGAGAGTTAGGTTATTTCTGAGGTAGTTGGGTCAAAGTTAAGTTGGTTTAACTTTAGGAATGATATATAAGGTTTTTCTTAAGACATGAACTTCATAAGTTCATGTTTTAAGAAACTCTAGATAGAAGTTAGAGAGATGTTCTCTGTGCCAAATCTCGTTCTCCCTTTTTTAGAAAATCCCTCCTTTTCTACCTTCTTATTATAGTTGAATCTACTTGATTGAACTAGGAGATCCAAGCTTGAGGAGTTGAAGACCTCGAGTTAGAATCGTGTAGAGAGCCTCTTCTTTTTCATATTTTCTTCTCCTTGGAGTAACTAGAGGTAAGGGCACCTTGTGGTTCGTTGATTATTGCTTGTAGTTGATGTTCCTTGTTGAATTTTTCTCTTGATTATTATTTTAGATTGTAATTTGAAAGGAGATGATGATTTTGTTGATTTGACATTGGGCTTAGGTGAGACAAGAAGTCCCATACCTCAATAACATCGAGCGTGAATTGCATGATTTCAAAGTGATGTTTAAGTTGTTTTATGATTGATAGATGATGATTAAGTTATATGGTGAAGATAATATGATGATAGTTCATTATGTTTCAAGTTGATATACTATTCGATGATGTTCATGTTGTTAACTTGTAAGCTAATAAATGATTAGATTATGAAGTTGTATGTTGTTATAGTTGATTAAGTTGTTAGGCATGTGGTGTACATACATGTCTTTGTTAAGATGTATAAAAACTATAGGAGAGTAAAAGTTATTTTAGAAATTAAAATATCACATGTGTGATATACGTTGCGATGCTCTGAGAGCCTAAGTTGAAATCCTTCAATGAGTAAGTTAACTTTTGAATGAGTAGTTGATTTTAAAGTTATCTCCTCTAAGTTTTTTGTAAAAATTTGTATGTGGACAAGGTCAAGACATATATTTATAAAGTGACCAGCTTAGTAAGGTATAAGGTCAGGAGCTTAGTTTCTTAACCAAGTACTAGAAGGGAATGATATTTGGAGGGTAATCAGTGGATTAATTCTATAGGAGACTTAACGTTGCAAACTAATATTGTAGTAGACTCATACCTAAATTGTTATATCATGATAGTAGTATTAGATTTCCTAATTTAAGTAACAAAACATGAAAAATCAAATGAGTTGTAAACAGATACTTTGAGAGGCTTGAAGTTCTCTATACTTTTCTATATCATATATTTCCTATAAAAAAAACAATATATTCGAGCAATATACATAAAGTGATATAGTGTTTTTTTCTTCAATTATTAATTTTAAATATGCATACAAGTAAAAAAAAAAAAAAAGCAACTTACTATGTGTAATAGTACATGTATTTTATTAGTTTTTTTTTTAATGTTAAATGTAAGTGCAAATAGTCTATTGTGGCCCCCCAAGGAAAAACTATCCCTCACCATCCCCACACGCCCTTAAAATCTTAAGAAATAGAAGCATGGTTATAGGCCACGACTTTGTCATGAAAGTAGTGGCAAATACATGCCCTGAAATCCAAGGGACCAATCCCTACCACATACCATGCCCCCATCTCTTTTCCCCCCTTATCTTTTATCTCTCAATGCTTAATTGCTAATACCTATCTCTCAGATTTTCCCAATCATTATTGACATTTCGTTTCCCTCTCAATAATCACCATTATGGCATTATGTGATCATAAACGCCAACCAAGGTGAAAATTAGTATTTTCTTAAAACTGAATACATGTAACACGTAATTTTCATTTCACATCAATCTAAAAAAAAATATTGCAACTATAACATTACACTATTTAAATGGCACTAAATTATTCTCTTAAAACATTAGGTTAAAAATTATGCAACTATAACATTAGGTTTTTTTTTTCCTTTATTTTTTACCGTTTTACGCAAATTAAAAGACCACAACTTTTGATTTGCATGAGGAGAATGGGTCCCAAAACAAAAGATTGAAATAATATAATAATAATGATGAAGAGGTGAGAGGGTGAGATTGTGAAGGAGTGTGGATAAAACGTGTGCTGCAACAACCAATCAGAACTCAGAGAAATCACAGTGTCTCAAATCCCTCCAAATCCTTTTCCTTCCGCCACATCTATTACATTATTTCCACAAAAACCAAACCCAAACCAAAGACACAGAAAAAGAGGTTTTAGTTTTAGCAGCACCAACTAACTCCACCTAACTTCTCTTTGGGAACCCATTTCACAATTCCCCTTCAATGGCTGTTTCAACCAGTTTCTCCGGTGCAAAGTTGGAGGCTTTGTTGCTGAAATGTGGTTCCTCCAATGCTACCACCACCACTACCCATTTATCTGTTTTTGGCAAAAACAGAAAGACACTTGTTCAGACTCTCAGAGGGTCCATTCGCTGTGAGGTTTCTGCTTCTGATGTTTCACTTGATTCAACGAAGAAAGCCACTAATGTCTCTGCTCTCGAACAGCTTAAGACCTCTGCTGCTGATAGTAAGTAACCAATTAACTCTTCTTCTTACCTCAATTTTCAGTTAATGTTTTCAACTTTAATTATCTATCTGTTAAGTTTAACTTCTAAACTATACAATTTTGGCATGAAAGTGTGACTTGTAAGTAAGGATATTATTATAATGATAAACAAAAATACTATGTATGATATGGTGGTGTCATTGGTGTGTGATTGAATGTATGTTTATATACCAGAGACACCCTGAATATGACATACATGAAGGTGTGTGAGAATTCTTTACATGGTCTTGTATCTTTTTCCTTCACAATACTTGTTTTTAGTCTTTGTAATTAAAAATAAATTTGTTGTCACGTCCACCAAACCTTTTGTTTTTGGTCTTTGCGATACAAAAGCTGAAGAATTTAAATCATGATTCTATTTTGTGGTTAAATGCTAGGGGTGGTTACGTTTTTCTCTTTTCACATTATTATTGCTCTAAATTGAAGTTTGTTCTATTTGCTGTTGATTTGTCGTTGGTTTGTTTTCTTTTCTTGATGTGAGGATGTTAAGAATGATTATTTTGCATTATTCTGAAAAAGATATTTCTGCAGAACCAAATGCAGAGAAGATGCAAATAGTCACTACCGGTTCTAACAATCTAATGAAGGCTGTCTTTGTTTTTAACCTCGTTATGGAAACCAAAATGTACTAGTCTTTTTAATCTCATATTCTTTTTATTTTATTTTTAAAATATATCAAATGTAGAATTAAACTCACTACTTAGAAGAGGTCAATCACTTAAATGAATTTCAATATCTCAAGAAATTAGTCCTTAGCTCATAGTAAAGAGATACCTTGGTTTTAAAAAAAAAGACTCATTACTTTCTTTTCCCTTCTTTCTTATGCTTCTACAGAATGTTATTACTTTCTTTAATTTAATGTAATATTTAAGAAACCTAGGATTATTTCAATACTGAAAATAAAGAAAGAAATTAAAAAAAAAAAGAAAAAGAAAAAAGACAGGGCTATGATATACTTGTCTTTCTTTGGCTAATTATTTGAAACTTGTAACTTTTGAATAATTTATGTAATTAGTTTCATTCAAGTGATTTTAGTTTTCAGGACTTGTGATTTTCACATGACATTTTAATGATTTTCACATTAAAACAAAGAATTTTAATAATCTTTGTTTTCAACAGTAATTTTTAGTTTTTGAATGAAATCAACAACATATGTGAAACTAGCAAGTTTTGAGTGGTTTTTGCAATTAACCTGATTTAAGTGATTTATGAAATTAATTTGAACAGGGTATACAAAGGAAAGGAGCAGCATTATGGTTATTGGACTGAGTGTACATACTACACCTGTGGAAATGCGTGAAAAACTTGCCATACCAGAAGCAGAATGGCCTAGAGCCATAGCAGAGCTTTGTAGTCTGAATCATATTGAAGAAGCAGCTGTTCTGAGCACCTGCAACAGAATGGAGATATATGTTGTTGCTCTCTCCAAGCACCGTGGTGTCAAAGAAGTCACCGAATGGATGTCCAAAGTAAGTTTTCTCTCAACTTTATTCAGTAAAACCCCACTTTAATCCATGAAATTACATGTGTGTCAACTGTCAATATTTTAGTCCCTAAATTTGAAAAATGATATTTATGTTTATTCTTTTTTCACTTCCTTTTCTCAAACATTAAGATCAACGAATGGTGTTTTTTTTTTAAATTGAGTGAATATGATTTTACTTAGATAAACTTGTCGATAAATATTTGTAAGAGAAAGAAATAAAAAAGTAAAATGAATTAATTTTTTATAAGTTAAAATTAACTTATACATAAGTTAAAGTAAAATGTTAGCAATATTCTTTTTAACACTTTTGACACTTTATTATTGATTGAAAATTATAAATTTTGTATGTTTGACATGTTATTTAATGAGCCTATTTTAATTTAGTGGTATGATATACCGAAATTTATGATGTTCGATAAAAAAAAAATATTAGTTAGAGAGTATTAGAAAATATATCACTAATATTTTGCTAAGTTAAATAATTGTTTTTATAAATGTTAAAATACATAAGTTGATTATCTTACAAGTGTTTATCGGAAAAGTTATCTTATTCAAACAGAACTTAAAGTGAATTTTTAATGAATTCAGGGACTAAAATGATTGGTGTATATAACATGAAGGATTAATATTGGACATTCTTGTTACGTCCTTGTTTGCAGACAAGTGGAATTCCAGTTGCAGACCTTTGCCAGCATCAGTTTCTGCTTTACAACAAAGATGCCACACAGCACCTTTTTGAAGTATCAGCAGGTCTTGATTCTCTTGTGTTGGGAGAAGGTCAAATCCTTGCTCAGGTGAAGCAGGTTGTGAAAGTTGGACAAGGAGTTAACGGCTTTGGGAGGAACATTAGTGGACTATTCAAGCATGCAATCACTGTAGGGAAGAGGGTCAGAACTGAGACAAACATTGCTGCTGGAGCAGTTTCTGTTAGCTCAGCAGCTGTTGAACTGGCCCTGATGAAGCTACCTGAAGCCTCACATGCAAATGCAAGGATGTTGGTCATTGGAGCAGGAAAAATGGGAAAGCTTGTGATCAAGCATTTAGTGGCAAAAGGCTGCACAAAGATGGTGGTTGTCAATAGAACTGAGGAGAGAGTTGCATCAATCCGAGAAGAGCTCAAGGATGTTGAGATAACCTACAAACCCCTCTCGGAAATGCTCACATGCGTTGGTGAATCAGATGTGGTTTTCACCAGCACAGCATCCGAGGATCCCTTGTTCTTGAAGGATCATGTCAAGGACCTTGCTCCTGCCACTGATGAAGTTGGAGGCCGTCGCTTTTTCGTTGATATTTCTGTTCCTAGGAATGTTGGATCATGTGTCTCGGATCTTGAGTCTGTGAGAGTGTTCAATGTTGATGACCTTAAGGAGGTTGTGGCAGCTAACAAGGAAGATAGGCTAAGAAAAGCAATGGAAGCTCAAGCTATCATATGTGAAGAATCAAAACAATTTGAGGCTTGGAGGGACTCATTGGAAACTGTTCCTACCATTAAGAAATTGAGGGCATATGCTGAAAGAATAAGGGCGGCTGAACTTGAGAAGTGCCTAGGAAAGATGGGTGATGATATCCCAAAGAAGACACAAAGAGCTGTGGATGACCTTAGTAGAGGTATAGTGAACAAGTTGCTTCATGGGCCAATGCAACACTTGAGGTGTGATGGGAGTGATAGTAGGACTCTGAGTGAGACCCTTGAGAACATGCATGCTTTGAATAGAATGTTCAGCCTTGAGACTGAAATATCTGTTTTGGAGCAGAAGATTCGAGCCAAGGTGGAGCAAAAGCCATAGTTTGTGAGATTTGGACCAATTTTTCATTTATAACACTCATTTATTTACTCTATTTAGGATTGGAAATCATGCAATCTGTGGTTGCATGATGGAAACAGTAAAAGTCCCCAAGAACTTCAATTGATTAGTTGTGTACCTCAGTGTCTACTTTGCCCTCTATGTTAATTATTCTACAAAATAGAGGTGTCATGCATTATACTATTAAGGCGAGCTTTGTATCTATCATGAATAATCTATGCAAAAAATTTGCCTCCTGTTGATAATCAAGTGAGTTACCATACAAGCTGAGATTGATTTTCATTGTTGTTTGTGCTAGTTTTTGACAGCTCTGGTTGGTCGAATTCTAATGTTCTCCAGATGATGATCGAATAAAGAAGTTTCTCTCTATTGTATTAACGAGGCCAAAATTTTTTGAAACCTATAATTTCTCACATTACTGGTTCATTACCACAACTATATACCTAAAATATGTACTTATAAAGTGAAAAGTAATGTAAAGTGACAAAGTGTGTTTGAAGAAAATAATTGCCGTAAATTTAGAGAAATATTCAAACCTTTAAACAGAAAAAGGTATTTCATATCCTTTTTAAATACCAATAAATACTTATTATATTTTAAAAATAATCCTCTTCTCAATTTTTTAAAACATAAGTGAATACATATGTACATATACATATACATATACATATACATATATATATATATATTAGACAAGATTATATGAAAAAAAATTCTTGTGAAAATACAAGCTCAAACATTAACAAGTATTTATCCTTACTCTAAGGAATGGTACTTGATTGAGGCTTGATTTTATAAAGTTAAAATTTAGGGTGTTCCAAATTATGTTATTTCTTTGATTTTTTATTGTTGTGTACAAGTATTTTTCTCAATAATAGTTTCAGAGTTGATAATGTCATCTGATAAGTATTAAAGTGGGATCAATCACTAGTAGAAAAATAGCCTTTTACGTCACTATTTTCTCATCAGTTAACAAAAAAACGATGTAAAAAAGACGCGGTGGCATTTTTGTAATATTTGTGGACTTTTTTACGTCGGAGTTATTAAGGTCCGACGTAAAATGTACAATTTACGTCGGAGCTATTAATGTCCGACGTAAATTTTACATTTTACGTCGGACCTTAATAACTCCGACGTAAAAAAGGTTTCACATTCTTTAAATAACGTGCTATAAGCTGGTAGCCTTGTTGTTCTCTCCGCCTAAAACTTTCAAATATTTTGCAGATCTGGCCTTTTGCTTGCGCCTTTTGGAGCTAGCTCTGTTGTTCTCTCCGCTTAAAGCCTTCGAATATTTTGCAGATATGCACCTTTTGTTTGCGCCTTTTGGAGCTAAAACATTCAGGCTAACGTTTGTGAGAACGTTACATTTCCTTTTCCCTTTTTTATGTATTTTTAATTTCCTTTTCCCTATTTCCTTTTCTTCCTTTTCTGGATCGTCTCGTTTCTTCTGCATCTGGAACAAGTAGAACGGCCCGTTCTCCTTGTAGAACGGGTCGTTCTGCTTGCACTCGTAATTTTTTTTTATAAATTTTTCGCTACTTTTTTACGTCGGACCTTGATATGTCCGACGTAAATTTACGTCAGTTTTACAATGCCGACGTAAATTTTACGTCTCCCGTTTTAATGTCAGTAAGTTTTTTCGACGTAAAAAGCTCAAAACAACCGACGTTAAATACCTCTTTTGTACTAGTGAATAAAGTTGATAGTAAATCTATATGATGATCCATTGTCAAAAGTTTTGTTAACTATGTAAAAGTTAAACATATTGAGATAAGTGTTATGATGAGGAAAACACCACAAATTTGAAGAGCAAAACTATAATGTGAGAAGAAAAAAAAAATTGAAAATGGGTTGCAATGAAAATTCATGATGGCGGGAGTTGATGAAAAAGATAAAAATGAGATTCGGAAATTTTAACTGATGGTAGAATTATTAGAAAAAATTAATTCAAATTTTTTATATTAATTAATTCAATTAAGTGAAAATTTAAGTTATACATTATATATCAGGGGTGGTGAAATATATCTTGATTGTTGAAATTTTTTACTAACATATATAGTAAGATGATAGGTGAAGAGGTGAAATAATGAAAATCCATTAAATCATATTAATTTATGAATAAGTCATTGACCAACATTGTAAATAGAGATTTTTAAGAAAAGAAAAACCACCCCACGTGAAGACATGATCACCAACCCAAGTGAGCACACCAATAGAGAAAGTTTCTCAAAGTTTATTCACAAAAATTATCATGATATAAATTTTCTAAAATTTATATGGAAAAATTTGTAATCATATTAGACATAATTAATATTTGTTGAATTCTTCATGTAAACATAAGCAAGATGTGTCGAGTCATTTTAAATTCATATATTATAGTGTTATATATATATATATATATGTATTTATCTACATTATTGTGTGCAAGGAGAATTCCTTCCAACAAAATTATATAAGAAAATCACAAAACTTTTATTAAAATAATATGAAGAAAATTACATGGTCCCAGTAGGCCACTGCACTCGTGAATTCAGCCATGCTTATACCTACCAGTTTTATCTCTCCGAAATGATATCCATTTCCGGCATAAAAATAATTACAATTTATTAATATAATTATTTTTAAATTTAGATACAACTGGATATACATGCATCATTGTTTCTTCGACCGAAAAACTGTACCCAACATTTTCCTTCTTGCATTTAGCACCACACTTTTTTTGTGAAACATATTAAGGATGCTTGAAACTATTGAACCTCGCAATTTTTTTTATTTTTTTTTTAAGTTAGTGTAAATCACATTAGATAGTGTTAGGCATGTTAAGTAGTATATAAGTAAAAAAAAAATTATTAAAATTTTGTCTTAAAATTTTAGAATTTTATATAGAAATATATATGGCCAAATATCTAATCCATTATATCTCATTTAATCAAGTGAAGAAAAAATCATATAAAGATGAATTTGAGTTCAACATAATGGAGGCAAATGATTCTATTAACTTTTTGATATTTAATTTTTTCGATATACATATTATAATAAAATTCTCATATTTTCCATGTTTAAAACTAGTTGCCTCCACCTTTTTCTGTATTTTTATTTTGTAAACAAATGTTTTTTTTGTAAATAATAGAAATTTGATGTATATTTATATTTCAAAAAAATGTGAAGCTATATGTTTAATGCTATAAATTTATGTATGAATATTCTCCCAGTATCTAAAACTTCTAGCTCTGTCACTGGGTCATATTAGAGTTGAGAGAGTGTTAAGTCTCAATTTTACCTCTTTTTGGATGAGACTTATACAAGATTTAATGATCAAATTCTTCCATTCTTTGTATCATTGCAATATAATTGTTCTCATTTTGGTTTATTTTGTATATGCAGGTATTCAAGTAGAGAATTGAGGATAACAAGGCCAAAGGAGTGGAAATCAAAAGAATGAAGGAGCAGAGCAGGCAACCACGCCGGGCGCAATTTATAATTGCGCCGGGCACAATTCAAGGCAGAGAGCACATTGAGCATCAGGGGAAGCCCGCGCCGGGCGCGAAGTGTAACGCGCCGGGCGCAATAACCCTAATCTGTTTCCTCAGGCTGCATAAAAGGAAAATTTCGAGGGTTTTCTCCCTCATTCACACATTGGGCGCGTTTTGGGAGCTGTAGAAGGGATTCTCGGAGCTTGAAGCCGTTCGTGTGTGGGTCATTCCTTCGGTTCTTCCTTTCCTCTTCCATCTCTATTTTAGTTTTCCCCTCTTTGTTTTGAGAGGTTCTATCCATTGTATTGGGGTTTTGATGTAACCAACAAACTCTATTGTAATCCCTTTGTGTTTAATGATATATATGTTTTGTTTCATTCCTTGTTGTGTATGATTCTATGCTTAATGCTTGCTTTGGCTTGATCACCCTTTGCATGATTTAAGGTTTCATTGAGTATTGGAAAATATCCTTGAAACTAGTTTTGAACATATGCCTAGTGGGAATTGTACCTAGGGATAGGGCTTGACCCATTAGTAGTCTTAAAACCCTAACCGGTAATGCGGGTGGAGGTATTGAGTACTCAAGGGATTGATATTCAATATTTTGCACCTAGGCTCTTTCTCTAAGGAATTAGGTCTGAGTAAATTTATGGTTGACTGAACAATGAATGTAACAAGAGACATAGGATTCACTAGTGTTTGTTTGGTGAAATCAAACCCCCACAACTTCAAGTGTCCATTTTACCATTTCTCACCCCATTTCATTTCTAATTCATTTATTTGTGTTTTAACAATTCCAGTAGTTTTGTTCTTAAATTCATATTCATATTTATTGGGATTGTTCTCAAGTCACAAGTAGCCAATGAATGCTTAGTTTACCTTCTAATCCCTGTGGATACGATATTTTTACTACTTGTACGGCCGGTACACTTGCCGTGTTTGAGTCCGTTGAGGGAAGTAACCTAATCTATAATTATAAATAAAAGTACTTCAACGGAAATCTCAACAAGTTTTTGGCGCCGTTGCCGGGGATTAGAATGGCGATTTAGTATTTATAGCTATTTGTGACTTGTTCCTTTACTTTTATTGCTAATTTCTATTTCAGCAACTAATTCTTTGGGCTGACTTGTGCACTCTAGTCTTTGGTTTTCTCTTGTATGCAAGGTACCATCCGAACTAGAGGTACTGTTTCTTCTGAGCCATTGTTGAACGATCCTGAGATTGAACGCACGGCAAGGAGGAATAATAGCAATAGGAGGAGAAGGAGGACTAGAACAAGTCCAGTTAGCCAACCAACCATTCAGTTTCCTGAAACTTTTGTTTCTGACATTCCTGAGTTCACTATGGAAGGTGGTGAAGATGATCTTAGAGTTGTGTTTTATATTTAATATTTATGAGTTGTTTATTGTCTTTAGCTTACCCTTGCATGTTTCCATGTGGTTTGGATTACGATGATCATACGTTGGTATGGGAGCAGGGCAGGGATAGGCTGGGAGATAGCTACAAGAGGCCACAGGAGGTACCTGGAGATAGATAGATTTTTTTATAGATACCTTATAGTAGTATACTTTGTTGTATATAATTGATTGATGTTGGTTGCTTGATTAGCAACTTGTGTTGTAAATATTTTATAATACTATTTTAGTATGTATATTTTAGTAGTGTGTGAGTGTTGTTTTGTAGTGTACCGGCCACGACGGGTCATTACAACACTCACCCCTACAATAGTTGTCATTGGATTCATTAAGAGGTATTTTCAATTTTAACACAATAAATATAAATATTTAAAGAGTTAATCACCTATACACT